AAGTGTCCCAGTTGGATACACGAGAAAGTGGGCTCAGCTGCCACCTACTTTACTGCCATCTTCTTCTCCCCTATGATTTTTGATAAATAATTTTTCATGGGTCCTTAATCATAGCAGCTGGTAGCCTTCTGTGTTGCTTTATTGCTTGTATTCAACAAGAGAATGGACAGAATACAAAGTGTTATCCTAGACATCCATTTACAACAAGGAGCACACACAATGCCATACCAAAATGAGTTTATTGACATTCCTTGAAGGTGGTATGAGGAAAGAGAAAGCTCAGCCTGAGTATTACATGACATTTGTCAGTGTAAGCATAATCAGCCCAATAATGTGGACTTCTCTTGCTATTGATAAGAACAAAGACTTTTAACAAAATATTTATAGATATTCCCTAGATAAATTAAAAACTGCAGGAAATAAGCTAATGGAATTACATTTACTCTGTAAACTATCTGTAGACACCTATGTTTTTCTATTGGAGCAAAGTGACTATATGTCACTAATAGGAAAATAGTATTTTATATTTTTTGACTTTATGGGGGCTGGGATATTTATCCCAAATTTTTATGTTATAGAGTTGAAGTAGTAATCTTAATAAATAATAATGTACATATAATAATAATAACAATAAAATAATAATAATAATAAAAGCACCACAGTTGTTATGTGAAAGTTGAGCTACTTTTATTTCAGTGTGTTTCATCTTGACTGGGAAAACATTTGTGACAACTGAGAAATTTTCTGAACTCAAATTTTGGACACATGGTTTGACACATGGACTGACAATGTCATAAATGTAATGTTTTAATAATCCTGGAAAGTCCAGCTCATTGACTTCCAAAAAAATACACCTACTGTTAAAGGACATATATAGTCATAAAGGGAAAATATTTAGATCTTTTCATATTTGAAGCCTGTCAAAATTATATATCTTTGTTAAATTTTCATTGTCATCCAAAAAATTGTGCTGCAATAGTGATGGTTAAATTTTTTTGTCAACTTATATATACAGGAATTTAGAAATAACTCAGTAGATTTAGAATACTTCTGATCCTACAGAGTCAATTTCTACTTTTAGGATTATCACCTCCACATGACAAAATAAAGTGTGACAGTCAGGAAAATTATTATTTTGATACTTACAGTATTTTAGAAGCATTTTTCAAATTTTAGCATGTATTATCTTATTTAATGTCTTGTTTGTCCCTCAATTAAGGGGAATATGCTCTTACTAAAAGCTCTGAAAGATCTTGTTTTAGAGGAATTGTTGTATATAAGTGATTAATTTTGTGATATATCATGGAGAAAACTCATACTTTAATCTTTAAAAAATGCCAGTGGTAACAAATAGATCTGCCTTCTGCATTGAATTATATAATTTGTTTGGTTTACATATCCACCTGGTGAAATTAATAACATAATTTATTCTTATAGATGTTTTATTAAATATATAATAAAAAATTGTACATAGTTTAAAAATTAGCCTTATAAACAAGGAGCTATTAACTAAGGAAATAGATTGTGGGATAGAAAAAAATAATCTCTCTGTAACAATTACCTGTGCTCATGTTCTTCTTGTTTTTATTCCTTAAGGACTCTATCACAGCCTTTAATGAAATCTGGGACCCTGTTATACAAGCTTTGCATTGTTTCAGCTGACATTGACATCAGAGTTTCTTTTTATGATTTTACACCTTTATGCACATTGTTTCTGTAATGCTTTGTGGGATATATCTTGGCTCATGGCAATGGGGGTAAGGGCAGGTATGAAAAAGTTATTTGAAAAACTTGTTATGACCAAATCATTTATCTATATGTAATATCCAGATGCCTTGTTCCTTCTGCATATAGGTACAAAAATATTAATTAATCTAATCAGTAGGTTAATTATACATTTATGTAAATTTAAAGCTCCTTAGGAAAGGTTCCATTTTTAACACCTTTCTCCCTTTCCAATGCTTTAAAAATAATATAACTGTTAAAAAATGGAATGTTTGAATTAATGAGTATATATACTTCTAAGATCAAGTTCTAAAAATAATAGATGTCTCCCATACTAGAAGTTCCAGAATATTGACTTGCACAAAAATAACCTACTGTTAAAGAAAAAATGACTAAGTATTAAAAGAGAATTACAATAGTAGTATTATGTTATATATTCAAACATTACAATGGTGAAATGATTTGCATATTTTTATGTCCTGATTTTATAAACAAATTATAGTAGCTCCATGAGAATCCATAATGTTCAGTGAAATAAGTCAGGTGGTAAAAGACAAATACCATATGATCTTGTGTATAAGAGGAACATAATCAATAAAATAAGCATGTGAGCAAAATGGAAACAGGGACATGGAACTAAAGAAAAACCTGGCAGTGACCAGAAGGGAGGGGGTAAGGGGATAATAGGGGAAAGATGGGGAAGAATCAAGGAACATGGATAAAGGACCCATGGACAAAAATAATGGGGGGGGGGGGCAAAGATTAAATGGAGAAGATGGGGGAAGGTAGGGCAGGGGAGAGTAATGGTGGGAGGAGTAATGGAGAGTAAATGGGGACAAGGGCAACTGAACAACAATAAAAAATAAATATATAATAAATTTTACAGGTCCCCAAATTTCATATAACACTTATTTCATTCTATCTTGGTAAACATTCTTTATAGATAACAACTGTAAGATAAATTTCTTTAACATATACATCCTGTCATTCACAAAATGCACACAGTAGGTAGAGTGCTGGGAATTGCAAATAATTCCTACTAAAATAATGTTTCATATTGGGGGTAGAGAACATAATTAATGTACTATTTAGACACAGCCTGATATAATGAGAACAAGGCATTGCTTTGTATGAAGTTAACATTTCTCACATTTTTTTTCTTGTATACTATATACAAAAAATGTGGCATTTCAGCTGTGGAGCCCTTTTAGCTCTTATTTCCCAGTGAAGAAAAACACTTCCATTAATGACATATTTCAAACAACATGGATAACAAAGTTAGAAAAAGAGCAAAAGATCATTATGTTTGAGTATGTTCCAAATGTGTTTGAGAGATTTGAACATCTTTGGAGCTTGCAATTGCTTTTCTTAAAACACTACCTTTTGTGAGATGTCTCTTTACTGAATGCTAAAATAAACTAGATGTCTATTTTGACACAAAACAATGTGCTTTGAGGTGATAGGTTTCTGCCTTAGAATAATTGCTACAAATATACAAGTATTATATTGCCTTCAATCTCTACTAAGCACCAGCACTATCTGCAGCTTCTTATTTAGTGTGGTCCCTGTGGACAATCAGATGTAAAGGAATTTGAACACCATAATAAATACCATATGATCTCACCTTTAATAGGAACCTAAACAACAACAAAAAAAACAAACAAGCAAAATATAACCAAAGACATTGAGGTGGAGAACAGGCTAACAGTGACCATAGGGGAGAAGGGAGGGAATTTCAGGGGAAAAGGGGAAGGGTTTACAGAACAAGTTTGAAGGACACATGGACAAAAACTGGGGGGGGGGGATGGGAATGGAAGGGAGGTAGGGAAGGCTAGGAGGGTGGGCTAGGATAGGAGTAAAAGACAGAAAACTGTCCTTGAACAATTAAAATAAAATAAGAAACAGCAAGCAAAATATAACTGGAGACATTTAAATTAAGAACAATCTGACAGTAATCAGAGGGGAAGTGACAGGGGATAATGAGGGGGGAAAGGGGGAAAGATCATCAAGGAACATGTATAAAGAACACATGGATAAAACCAAGGGGGGTGGAATCAAGAGAGGGAAGTGAGGATAGCTGGAGTGGGGGAGGAGAGGTTGGGGGAAAAGGCAGGCAACTGTACTTGAACAACATATGTTAAAACAAGAAAAAAAATGAACACCATAATGAAGAAAAATAAAAACATACATCAGAAAAACCAACATTCAAATTAAAATAAAAATTTTTTTGCCATGCAAATAATTACATAGCTTTAACAGAAATCATGAAATTATCTACACCTATTTTTCCTATGTGTAGGAGAACTGTAGCTACATTAAACAAGGCAAACAGAACAAAACACTATAGAACCTAAGTATTCAAACCAACCTAACATTTCCTTCTTTTTCCTGTTTGCTTCATCACATTGAATAAAACACAATGGGGCCAGAAGCCTTGTCATTTATAATAACCACATAATGAGATATCTTTCTAGGACATGTGCACAAGTTTGTCCTTCTTATATGGTGAGTGTTCATGAAGGGTATGCTCATTCTAGTTTTCTCAAAACTGTTGAGCCACAATCCCTACAATGATTGGGATGCACTGTGTTGTATCAGCAGAGGTTGTTTTTCTTGCTCTTATTATTGGTTGGAAAGTTTAATATTTGTACCATATATTTATGCTAGTTCCAGCTGATGGGACTGATGCCACAAATAAGTTATGAGTTGAATGTATAAAAGTTTGAATTTTCTGCTTTTGTTTTAGCATGATTACTATGCAAAAGGAAAAGTAGAGTGGGAGGGAAAGAAAGAGTTGATCAGCTCCTAGCTCTGGAATTAGTTGTTAGAAATTATAAAAAAATGGTGGTGCTGCTCAGAAGACATAAGTATATAAAAGCTTGGAATACTTAATGCTCAAATTTTCCCTTAAATTATATAAATAGAAGTAAACATTTATTATCATTTTGTCAAGTGTAGCATAACTAGAATTTATATTTAATTGTTGGTAATGGAGGTATATGAAGATATACACAAACATTGAGAGAGCTTTTTTTTTTTAAATATTGCATTCAGGCTAGCAGTTCATTGAAAATAGAGGAGATAAATCTGAAGGTTAGATCTTAGAAGAAGGCAGTTCTGCATGCACAGCTTTTGCCAATCCTGATTTGGTTTCAAAATAAAAATCATGAAGTACCAATAGGAAAGGAAAATTGATTCAGGGGAGAGGAAAGGGGAATTTTCCCAGAAAAGGTGATGTCACTGCGCAGAAAAATGTCAGGAAAATTTCTATTTCTTTATTCAAGTCCAAACGTGTTGGTTTCTTCTACTGCTGTTAACAGCTTTTCATACAACATGGAGTATGAGGGATAAGGTGGAAGATCCAATCGGTTGAAGCATGTATGTGCCCTGAATGGGAGAGAAAAGATTGGTGAAAGTATGTTTCAATGATACAAGTGGTTTGGATATATTTATGGTTAGTCTGAAGCTGTAGATAAAAAGTGTAACAAAAGTTAGCAGAACCACTATTTAGGACCACCGCAAACATTGCACACTAAGAATAATAGCCTTCTAGACTTGAGTAGAACAGTTGAGGGAGTGAAATAGCTAGAAATAGGTGGTTTGCATTTGTAAGCAAACCACAATGAACTACTAACTGCACTAGCAGACCAATGACAAACTCTGTGGTATCAGCTTCAGTTTTCAATTGAGGTATGAAAATGGATGTGGTTAGTGCAGAAGGAAAACATATAATTAGTATTAGAGTATCATATTCCCAAGCCTCCTTGCCCAACTCTGACTTTTGAATCTTTCTAAACCATGTATGTTGACTTAGAGATGCCAATGGATTCCTTCAAATTCTAATATACAATGCTCTATCAGGTCAGGTGTGTCCTGAAGATAGGATCCTCTACAGTTCCTAATGGGGCAGATTTAAACTGTAGTAGATATTCTGCATTTCTAGGAACAGCTGAGCTTGTGAGATAATCCTCTTTGGGTGCCAAGAGCATCCCTGTGCCATCTTCCCTGGTTTCTGCTTTACTAGTTATGTGCTTCATTCTGCAGACTCATGCATGCCAGAATCTGGCTTCTGCTGACATACTCTGACATTGACCAGAATGTAGTCAAGGAATGGCTTCCACTGACATGTTCTGACATGTGGATCCAGTCAAGACCTGGCATTGCCAGTAGGATGCACAGAGGCCCAAGAAAATCCTATGGAACTTCAAATCAGCCTGACCAGCTAAAGTTTAATATAATGGGTTTTCCTCTTTAGAAGTTGTGGGTTGAAATGGTGTTTTGAGAAGCCAACCAGCACAGGAAAGGGCACTGTACAATAAAATGATAATAAAATGAATAAATAAAAACATAAAAAAATACAAAACAAACATACATATAAACAAAACTGCACAAAATCCTAACAAAAAATAACTTTCCTTCAACAGAATTTTATTTGGAATATTAAACTCTTCTTTTAAATGACAAGATCCTCAGGGAAGTCATGTATTATTTATAACTTTATTTTCAGATTTCCAGAGATCAGGCTGATGCATTGCTCAGTCAGGGAACGGGGAGATTTTTGAGGGGATGGAGAAGATGAGAAGAGGAGAGAAGGAAGGTGGTTTTCCTGCACAAGGAGAATTTGGGGAGAATGCTGTTGTTTTTTGCCTCCCAGCAACCATTCCTTTTTATCCTGATAAAAGCTCCCTTATTGTCCTTGGGAAACTACCACACACCAAACCCACATTCCTACCCCAAGCTCCAAGAGTGGGAACAGGATAATAGAGTATATGACCTTAGGCTTTAAAAATTAAACTTAGAAATGTCAATGTATGTAGCTAGATATTAATAAAAAAGGGAACAAAACTGGCAAAGCTTAGGTTGGAAACTATAGCTTCACATACTCCAGGGGATAGCCACATTGCTTCACCAAGGGGATAAATACCCCTCCATTTCTTAACCCCAAGTAGGAAGGAAGAATCTCCCTGGATAACAACTATCTACCTGGTACTGGGATTATTGTGGGGAGAATGAGGAGAATTCCTCTGCTGAACACATGTGCACTAGAAGCCAAGATGGTAGAGATAGGACTTTCTATTTTGAGGAAGAAGTCATCAAGATGCCAACAAAGGTGAGATGTCTAATCTGGGAAAAACACCAGATTGATAAAAGGACCCAGCCCCAGCCCACAAAGATCTAGAAAATGCATTTGTTGGGGTGGGAGGACCAGCACAAGACTGCAGAGTTTTGGGAGATTGGTCAGTTTGAAAGCCTGAGGTAATAACATCAAAGCTTAGCAAAGACCTCTTGTTATGTGTTCATCTGTGCATTGTCTCTCCATAGCAGTCATGCAGGCCTAGCAACCGCACAAGCCTAATCATGAACTCCAAGTATAGGTTGGGAAGCTTCATAGTCCCAATCATGGGCTCCAAGCATGGGCTTCAATTGTGAGCCTGGCTACAGCAATGCTGCACAGCCAGAGTGCAGCTGGAGACAGAGACTAAACTGACTGTGTGGGGACAGAGAATGAACTGAATTAAATTTGGTATGGACTGAACTGATGGTAGAAAATATCTGGACCCTGGCCCTTCTGGGCTTGGTGAATATAAGGCTGGGCCTCTTCCACAGCTGGATGGATGGAGATGAGGTGTTGGTGGAGATGAGGAGCTGGATGGAGATGAGATGAACCAGGGGGCAGTCTTTTATTTTTATTGCAATAAATCTTAACTACTACATCTCATCCTCCCATATGCAAATCCTGTAAATGCTGTTTCTGTGGATCTGTGAAAGGACCCCATTTCCACCAGTGACATCACAAATATAAAAATAGGAGGAGAGAAGATGGTGGCAAAGTAGATGAGAGCTGAGCTCACTTGTTCATGCACCCAACTGGGACACTTAGCTGATCTTCCAAAGGACACAGATACCAGACAACAGAATCTTAGCAGGTATGAAGTTTGGAGGCCAAAGTATGCAAAGAACACTTCAAAATTGGTGGTAAAGAGGTTTAATAGGCAGACAGGGAAAGTCCTTGGACATGGCACCAGAAACTGCATCTGTCATGGGACAATATTGAGGGAAAGCCTGATTAGTGATAACAGCATAACAACTCCCTCCCCTCCCAGGATGTGGTAATTGGTAATCACAGACCCATGCCAGGAGAGGCTTGAAATGCATAAAGTCTCAAAGGGAAAAAAAAGCACACAGGTACACACACAGCTGGCAAAACACCTAAGCTGGTGCAGTGGTCAGCAGCTAGTACAGTGCCAGAGATTGGGGGGAGGGTCTTGGATGCACATGGAACTGGGAAAAAAGGTGGGCCACAACTGGTTGTGACTGAGACTGAATTTGCCAGAGAGTTGAAGTGTGTAGAAGGCTGGGCAGGATCTCCAAGTGGCAGAAGTGCCCAAAGAGACTTTTTTTTCTAAAGGAAAACTAAGGTGTCCTCTTCAGGGACCTTTCAAGTGCAGCTGCCAGGCCACCAAGGAAAGACAATTGTGGGTGTGATTTGCTCCCACACAGTGCCCCTCATGGACTGATCAAAGGGGTGCAAAGTGACATGGTTTATTGGCACCAGGCCAGTGCAACTGTGCAGAATGGAGAGTATAGGCCACACAGTGCTCTGAGGTGTGAGCTGGAAACTGGGCAGCTGTGATTATTGTAGCCCAGACTTAGCCTCCTTCCTTGTGGAACCAGTGGAAAGGGAAAACAGATTCCAACCCCCCACCACCTGTAGATAAAGATCTGTGAAACCAGCTGGGTAGGCATAAAACCCAGCAGGGGCCTTTTTTGTTGTTTCTTTTTTTTTTTAAGAGTAAGACAGTAAGATGTGGAACAGAGGGAAAAAAAAAAACAGAGACAGATCTAGAAAGAAAATCAAAGGTGAACACCAACAGCTGAGACAAATTTAAGGTGAACACCAACAGCTGAGACAAATTTAACCTAGCTTTTTATCAGAACTTGCATTTTTTATTCTCTGTTCTTTTTGTTTATTTAGCTTTATTGTTTGTTTTGTTTTTTCTTCACTGTTTCATATTGCATTTTAATTTTTCTTCTTTACTCATATTCCAAATAACTGACTACTCTTGGTCTTTTATTTTTTATTCTTTTTGTTCAGCTTATATATTTCTTTTTTAAAAATATATTTTATTGATTATGCCATTACAGTTGTTCTATTCCCCCCTTCATTCCCTTCCACCCTTCACACCCCTCCCTCACCATTCCCTCCCTTTAGTTTATGACCACGTGTCTCAAGTTCTTTAGATTCTATATTTCCCATACTATTCTTGCCCTCCCCCTATCTATTTTCTACCTACCGTCTATGCTACTTATTTTCTGCACCTTTCCCCCCCTTCTCCTCCTCCCACTCCCCTGTTGCTAACCCTCCATGTGATCTTCATTTCTATGGTTCTGCTCCTGATCTAGCTGTCCTCTTAGTTTGCTTTTGTTTTAGGTGTGGTTGTTAATAACTGTGAGTTTGCTGTCCTTTCACTGTTCATCTTCTTTATCTTCTTTTTCTTAGATAAGTCCCTTTAACATTTCATATAATAAGGGCTTGATGATGATGAACTCCTTGAATTTGGTCTTATCTGAGAAGCACTTTATCTGTCCTTCCATTCTAAATAAAAACTTTGCTGGATAGAGCAATCTTGCTTGTAGGTCTTTAGATTTCATGACATGGAATACCTCTTTCCAGCCCCTTCTTGCCTGTATGGTCTCTTTTGAGAAATCCACTGACAGTCTGGTGGGAACTCCTTTGTAGGTGACTGTCCCCTTATCTCTTGCCGCATCTAGGATTGTCTCCTTCATTTACATCTTGGCTAAGGTAATTATGATGTGCCTTGGTGTGTTCCTTCTTGGGTCCAACTTCTTTGGGACTCTCTGAGCTTCCTGGATTTCCTGGAAGTCTATTTCCTTTGCCAGAATGGGGAAATTCTCCTTTATTATTTGTTCAAATAAGTTTTCCACTTGTGGCTGTTTCTCTCCCCCTTTTGGTACCCCTATAATTTGGATGTTGGAACATTTAAAGATGTCCTGAAGGTCCCTAAGCCTCTCCTTATTGTTTTGAATTCTTGTTTCTTCATATTTTTCTGTTTGGTCATTTTTTTCCTCCTTCTGTTCCACTCCATTGATTTGAGTCCCAGTTTCCTTTCCATTACTATTGGTTTCCTGTGCATTACCATTCATTTCAATTAGTTTAGCCTTCATATGTTCCTCTAATTTGTGACTAAAATCAACCAGTTCTGTGAGCATCCTGATCACCAGTGTTTTGAACTGTGCATCTGAAAGTTTGGCTATTTCTTCATCACTTAGATTTATCGGCTCTGGGGCTCTGAGTTGTTCCTGAGCCATGTTTTGTCCTGTTTGTGCCTTTTACATATGAGGGAGGTACCTTGGTGTTCACCAGG